TTTGTTGCGTAACAAGCTGTTGAGCGTGTCGAGTGCCAGCAGGTGCTTGGCTGGGGGCCGGGGACCCAGCGTGGTCTGGACAGACTGGGACCCTCGGGGACATGGAGTGGTATTGAACACACAGTGCCTGGCACCCAGGGAGCGCTGAATAAAAGGTAGCTCATACTGTGATGTCGTCACTGTTATTCATGAGCTCAGCCTAGCGGGCGAGGGGACAGGTGAATGAACAGTGGTAAGGGCTGTGCAGGGGGCCGGGGTAAGGGGTGATGGAGACCCAGCAGGGAGCCCCCGCTGACCCATCTGAGGTGACATCAGTGCAGAGGTGGCAAGACAAGGGGCAGGGTGGAAAGGGAGTTCCTGGCAGTGGGACGGCCCGTGCAAGGGCGTGGAGAGTGACAGCGCAGTCCAGGGCCAACGCTTCAGGCCCTGGGGTCCTCCCCGCTAGTGGAGGGGTTCAGTCGCAAGGCCCGGTAAGGACAATTCTGTCCTTTCATTAATTCATTCAACAAATACTTCTGGAGTGTTTCATTGATTCACTCAACAAACACCTCCCAGGTGCTGCCCTGGGGCTGGGAACTGGCAGGGAAGGAGCCCTTGCAGGGAGGATGGAGCCAGGAACAGAGAGATGACTGGACAGGAAGAGGCCGGAGGGGGAAGGGGGACCGGGGGGTCACTTGGTGGAGTCAGAGGCTGCCCCAGGAGGCGACAGCTGTGCGGAGGCCTGAATGAATGGGACTTCCGGCGTGGGCCTCCTGCCACGTGGGGGTGGCAGCCAGAGGGGTGTGGAGGGTCGGGACCAGCAGGGTTAAAGGTCAGTGGGTCAGAGATGGGGACCACCCGGCTAGTGCAGGTGTCACAGCACAGTCAGGGGTCATGAAGGTGTCAGGGGTGACCACGGGGTCGGAGGCATGCGGGGGGTCAGGGCAGAGCCCGCGTGACCCCCAAAGTAGTCCCCTCTCGCTCATCGCCAGGTTCTCGCCCATCGCCATCGACGGCATGAGCGGCCTCGCGGGCGTGGGCCTGTCGGGGGGCGCGGCGGGCGCCGGCTGGTGCATCTTCGTGTACAACCTGTCGCCCGAGGCGGATGAGAGCGTGCTGTGGCAGCTGTTCGGGCCCTTCGGGGCCGTGACCAACGTCAAGGTCATCCGCGACTTCACCACCAACAAGTGCAAGGGCTTCGGCTTTGTCACCATGACCAACTACGACGAGGCGGCCATGGCCATCGCCAGCCTCAACGGCTACCGCCTGGGCGAGCGCGTGCTGCAGGTGTCCTTCAAGACCAGCAAACAGCACAAGGCCTGAGCCGCCGCCCCCCGCCCGCCCTCCCACCCCCTCCCCGGGCAGCAGAGAGAGAGAGAGAGAGAAAGGGCCCGAGAGAGACAGCGCAGGCAGACCCACGGACGACGTGAGGGACCCGCACCCCCGCGAAGCCACAGGGTGAGCACAGCACTCTGGGGGTGGGAGGGCGTGCCGGGAACGGGGGGTGCCCGGGGGTCCCCTGCCCCGTCCTCCTGCCCCCACCCCAGGCTGAGCTGGTCACTCTCTCATCTTGGTTTGGTTCATGGCGAAGGTTTTTGTTTCTTTTTCTGGCTAAAAAGAACGCAGAGGTGCGCCCCCACCCAACCCTCGGCCACCCTCCGTGGGGTGGCTTGCGGGCCACTGGGGGTGCCCTCCCAGGCCCCCTTGCCCAGGCCTCCCCAACACCTAGGTGGGCTTGGGGAGAGGGAACAGGTTTAAAAATCCCCAAAAAAGTGACACGTGAGGAGGCGGTGTGGGCACCCCCGGCCCAGGGTCCCCCCGTTGGTGGGACGTGGGGAGCCGGGGAGGGGGCTGGAAGCGGAAACAAAACGAAAAAAAAAAAGGGGGTGGGAGGGAGGGGTCTTAAGAAAAACTCTATTTTTGTAAAAAGGGAAAAAGACCTCGTGGAGAATTTTTACTGGGGATTCTTGAACTTGAAAAAAAAACACAAAAAAAGACAAAAAAAAAATATTTTGGCAGGTTATGTTTACCAACTGGGGCAGGGGGGTGCCAGGGAGTGGGCTTAGGGTCTGGGAGTCCACGCTCGGGGGGCCACACAGAGAACAACCACGCAGAGCCACACAGGGGCACACTCGCACCTCGGGGACACTCCGCAGCACAGAGACGCGCCCCCGACACGTTGAGGGACGCGCTGGCCAAACTCAGACACGTGGACAGGGTTAGACAGAAAGAGACAGGAGCTGGGGCTGCAGCAATGTGGACGCGGGCAGACGTGGGCACAGACGTTCGTGGGCGCGCACGTGCGGGCACGAGAACACGTCCATGGGTCCACGTGCGCACGTGACAGTGAAGGCAGATATATTTGGACACCAAATCCGAACACCCGGTCACAGAGAAACACACACACACCGCCCAGGGACACACAGACATGCCCATAGCATCCCACGGGCCCGGGCAGGAGGTCCCACCCCAGACCCCGCCCCGGTCACTCCCGCACCCTCCTGGTCCCCCCGACGCGCCTGCCCCGGTTTCTCTGCAGAGCTCTCTCCTGGACCCTCGGTGGTCTCCCTGCCGCCCGCGAACACAGGCGTGCACACACGGCGTCCATGCATCCAGACACACGATACCTCGTTCCACTTTGGCGTCACGGTGGGCTGGAGGCAGCCCCCCCACCAACACTTGAGGCCAAAGGACCTCCCCGCCCCTGGGGCTAAGCCTCCCTGGGCCAAGGCCGTGGCCCACAAAGCCGACAGGGAGGCCCAGCTCTGGGCCTCCCCCACTAGTGCCAGGCCTCCCTTGGCACCCAGCACTCCCCACCAGGCCCAGGGTGGACGGGCCTCGGGGGCCCAGCCCCACGAACCTTCCTGTCTACTTGTCACCTACCTACCCACTTTCGGTTTGTTGGGTTTTTTCGTCTTTCCAGATAGGTGAGGGCAGTGGACACAGCCCCCATCCTGAGCTCCGGCCCTGGCTTCTGTCTGGACTTTGCTTCTCCCTGATTTTGTTTTTAAAATAATAATAATAATAATAATAAAATTCCAACAGAAGCCACAGGCCAGAGCCCCGGGGAGCCCCTGCCCCCCTCAGCGGGCCCAGTCAGAACTGAGAATTGCAAAACCCCGACTTTAGCTATAGTTGAGTTGCCTTCCTGCCCCCCCCGTGCCCCCCTCCGCCCGGTGTCCCCACGTTTGGTGTCTGGCCATGGCCCTATCTGATCGTCCAGCTCTCTCTCCCCTTCCCCTCCCGGTGTTGTTATTAAACGTCTGTGGAGCTTCTGCTGCAAGGAACAAAAAGAAAAAAAAAAAATCAAAAAAGTGACAAAAAACACAAGGAAGAGAAGAAAAAAAAAAGCAACAAAAAAAGAGAAAAAATACACACAGAAGAGATTTAAAAAAAAAAGGAAAAAAAAAAAGACATAAACTGGCACCAGTTAACTTTCTTGTACTTTTTTGCTGAATTTAGCTTCTTGTAGTTTTAACTTATTGCTATGTTAACTATTTATTATTCCTGTTGCCCTGTAAGGACATTTGTGTATATTTCTGTTACTTCATCCAGTTTGCAAGTTAAAGGAACGATGGTGTTCTCTTTGTTTCTTTAAGTTTTGCCGAGACGTGGTTATGCCTAATTTATTTATAAAAGGGGAAGTGGAATCATTAAAGTTAATAATAATTATTAATAACAGTAATGGTAGCCGAGTGGCACCCGGGGGGCGCGTGCTCCGTGGGGCAGTCCCCGTGGCCAGCGACGTCCGGGGTCTTTAATGGGATTACTTTTGCTCTTGTCTTGAGAATTTTTTCAGTCTATTTAGCTGGTGAAAACCCTAGCTTGTTCTTGATACACGAACCTATTTATTCTTGTGGTTTTAAGTCCTCCCTGCCCTCTTCCCTCTCCCCTCCAGCAGGGCAGGGACCCCCCCCCACGGGTCCACCCCTCTCCCCTGCTGTTTCTTGGGGCTCTCTCCTCTCCGCCCTCCGCACGCGGGAACACGCGTGGCCGCGTGGGAAGCGTGCAGGAGGCGTCCGAGCAATAAAGGCTGGCTTCGTCCCCCACCCTGGGGGTGCCGGGCTTCAGAGAGGGGGCACCTCCCCACACCCCCCACCGAGGCCTCGGCCCCCTGCCGCCCCCGAGACTGGGAGGGGACTTCTTTTTCTAAAACACTAAACTCAGCCCAGCCAGGCCCCCACCCTGGAGGCCAGCCCCTCACCCCAGGGGGCCAGGGCTCCCAGGGGACGGGCTGGGGTCTTCCGGGTCCCTTGGGGGGCAGAGGCAGGGCCAGTGGGGAGGGGGCACAGCCCCTCCAGCCCTCCCCTTCATCCTGTTATTTATTCGGAAGGTTTCAAATCACGACAGAGTCCGTGTTGGAGGTGATAATGAACTGTTTAAAAAAAAAAAAAAAAAAAAA